CATGAATTGCAGGAGGTGGGCTACTGGGCACTGTCCACCACAATCAGATTCACAAGAGAATGGAGGAGAGGAATGGAGACAAATAGAAACAACTCTTTTTTTTTTTTTTGGTACCGGGGATTGAACTTGGGTCCTTGTGCTTGCACAGCAGGCGGCAAAACCACTGAGCTAAATCCCCCACCCAAATAGAGACAACTCTTAAGGGAGTTTTGCTATACAGAGAAGCAAAGGAGGGCAGGTGCCAATTTCGATCTCTGGTACAAAAAAAAAAAAAAAGAAAAGAGAAGCAAAGAAATGAGAGATTCATCACCATAAGCGGTAAAGTTAAAAGAAATTGTTTTAAATTTGTTTTACAACAAGCTAGATCTTCCTTGTCAGTTAAGGTGATATATTTGATATGTTGAGTAAATGACTTCATTCTATTTTATACTTTATTTGTATGTTTCCTAGGCGTATTGTGAGAAACAACACCCAGGTTTGTAAATAACAAACCTAAGGAGATTTTTATTTTTTTGTATATCCTTTTATTGGTGCATTTTAGGTGTACAATATAATGACATTCATCATTGGATATATGCACCTTTACATAATCTCTCTTGGTTCTTATTTTTTCCCCCTTCCTTTGCCCTCCCTTCAACCTCTCCATCCCTCCCTATTTACAAAGACCTTGTTTCCTTTTTTTCATTTTTTTCATATTAACTCCATTCTAAGGGAATTTTTAAAAACAGGCTATTTGGTGCCCATATGGGGATTGGAACGAGAGCTTTTCATCCCAGGGCTCCAGGATGCTCAACTGTACTCTTGAACTGCTGAAATCAGCTGCAAGGGCTTAATTATGCAGAGGAAACTGACCTGCTTCAGTGAGGGCAGTCATTGTCTTCTGGCTTGAGAACAAGCTTGCAGCTGCTTGGAACAGGCAAGCTGTTGGGCAGAGACCTGCACATGGCAAACAGCCCAAAGACCCCAATTAAAATGCTATGCAACTGGAGTGATCACATAAACCATAAATAATATCAGCAATTGCTTTACAGGCTGACTCTGCTCTGCAACAACACACTAAAATGTGTGCTAAATGCAGACACAAGAGTAGATGAATGGGCTAATTAACTCATGAAAGCAAATTCCCAGATCTGTATCTGATTTTAGTCCACTGAGAACATGTTAGTCTTGGATCCTCCCTGAGATAAGGATCAGGCAACTGTAGGATTGGGGAGGAGGGTAATAAATAACACTTTGTTCCCCTGCCACATGCAGAACCACCTTAGATGTAAAGCATAGAATGGACATGTTTTAATTCTTATTTTTATTACTATATGTTTGCTGTACATAGTGATTACATTCTGTGTGGGGAGTTGGTACACATACATAACACATCTTAATTCTGTATTGTTTTGTTTTGTTTTGTTTGAGACAGGGTCTCACTATGTAATTCAGGATGGCCTTGAACTCACTATGTAGCCTGGGCTGGTCTCAAACTCATAGCTATCCTCCTGCCTCAGCCTCCTGAGTGCTGGGATTACAGGTGTGCACCACCACTCCTGGCCTTAATTCTTTTTTCAACCCCTTCCCCTTCCCACCCTCCCCCACAGAGTGTAAATTAAAGCATCAGACTGTGTCTCTGGAGCGGAAACTATCCCACTTCACATCCCAGCCTGGACCTTCGGTCACTGCTGCCTTACACTGGGTCTGTGCACGAAGGAAGCAAGATGGAGCAAATTCTCTCTACTTATAGCCTTTGGATAGATTTGCTCTTCTTTGAGAAAGATGAGCCAGTGGGTGTCACCTCCCATAAGTCAAGGGAGGGCCAAAAATTTAAACTGAGTAAAGTGCAGGATCATGTTGTTGCAGGGCTAATGAGAAATACTATTTTCCAATCAGTTTGGACTGTCAAAAAAAAAAACCACCAAAATTTAAGTTAATGACACAATGTACCCAGTAGATTGTACACTGAATCAAGATAACATTTTTTAGTTTCTTTTTTCATTATTATATGTTTGTGATATATAACCAAGATAACTCTGAATGGCTTCCGGAGGGTCACTTACCGTGGTTCTCCCACCTGATCAGAAAGGAATCTTAGCCAATCCCCACTGAGACCAGGGGACAGGCTGAAGGAGGAAGCCAGCAGGACAACCTCAAGACTGCATGCTGCCAAGATTGGTGTCTGCACAGGATTTTACTGAAATTCCTTCCCCTGGAAAGGAATGAGGAAAGGACTGGCAAGAGGCCCAGGGCTTTATCTGGCAGAAGTTCTACCACAAACAAATAGGCTGGGAATCACCACCAGCCCCAATAGCAGCAAAACTAGCCAGAGAAGTAAAACACAGCCTTCCCTCCTCCCCAGCCATGCCTTAGGATTCCTGTTCTCCCAGTAGTTCATCATATGTGTGAGAGACAGGCCAAACAATCACCAAGGAAATTTGAGGGCTGGAGGTACAGCTCGGGGTAGAGCATTTGACTAATGTGCAGGGCCCTGGGTTTAAAGGGTGGTGGTGGTGCACATTTGTAATCCCAGCACTCAGGAGGCTGAAACAGGAGGATTCCTGTGACTTTAAGGCCAGTCTGGGCTAGTGAGTTCAAGACAAGCCTGAACTACCTAACTAGACCCTGTCTCAAAAACAAAACAAAACAAACAAAAAAGGAAATTCAGCAGGTTTTATTGAGCCAAACTCCAGACCAGATTCTAGGAATACTGGGCTATATTCATACTTAAGGTGACCAAAGAAAGGTACATCCTGGGTAAGACCCCATCACTATCCCATTATGAGCCTTGAAGAGTGTTATGGTAGGAATATTCAACTACTTTGGGGAATAAATGACAAATCTTATTCTCTGGAGTCATTCCTCCTCACTCATTCCAGGCACTATGCCCTATCTGCCCAGGATTCTGTGGAGAAGGAAACAGTTCTCATAAATTTGTGTTCTACCCTCATGACAACTCTACTTCCGGAGAATACCACAATGCAGCTTCACTTCATCAGAGAAAATTCTAGATGACCAAAGTCCCTTCCAATCCTATGATCCTTCTTGAGCTCTCTCGGTCACTTTGATTCTTTGCCCTCCTAAATTTGATGTCCTCTCAGCTTCCTGCTCAGACTGCTAAATCCCACACATGTGCTCTCTCTTCTAGGAAGCCTGTCCTGCATCCTTAGCAGGCTGGGCTGAGTGCCTTGTTGTGCCCTTGGCACTGTGCTGGAGCTTCTATCAGCAAGTCCATCTCACTTGACTCCTCACTTTAGGACATGGGCAGTTTCTCATTGAACACCACATCTCCTCCACCAACTACAGTACCTGGTACAGAACAGACACTGAAAAACTGTGTGGTGCACTGAATAATCCTTCCAATCAAAATGAAATCAAGTGCTGTGGTTAGTTCTTAGGAAATCTCAAATCTCAAAACTCCAGGGACAGAGTAAAGGTAAAAACAATGTAGAGTAGGACAGGGGTTGCCATGCTGTTCCTTAGTACTTCTGCAGACCCCTGTGGGAAAGGGCATGGATACTCAGGATCTGGGACAGTTGCTGCTGGCCTCATGTCTCCCATTCCAAACTTCCCTATACAGCTTTCCTTCCAGAGAACTCCAGCTTCAGAGTAGGAAGTAAGCTTTTTGCCTGATGTGAGCATAAGGCCTTGAATATGAAGATTCGTGTCTTTCAAGTTTATATATGTCTAGCGATGGAATCTCTAAACGCAGGGTGTGCCTGACTATGATGTTGCCATCATACTGCCTGTTATACTGCAAGGCACAAGGATGATCAATCATTCATTCAGTAGTTATCTCTTGGGAGCCTGTGGCAGCAAGTGCATTAGGCACTGAGCAGAAGTAAATACGGAAAATAAGCTCCTCTGAGCAGGGGTTATAGGAGATGCCATTCTTAACTTCTGGAAGGTGAGTTGGCTCCTCCTCTCCTCCTTCCCTACAGTTGTGGAAGTCTTCCTAGCCAAACCTTAGGGAAGCACTTGATGACTTGAAACAACAGAAAGACGTCATGTCAGTTTTGGCAACTCCAAGTCCAAAATCCAGGTGTCAGGGCAGGAACAACCTTTTGGGGAGAAGTCTTCCTTGTCTCTTTCTAGCTTCTGCTTGTGGCCAAGGATCTTGGCATTCCTAGGCTTGCAGCCACTTTAACCTCCGCCTCTGTCCTCACATGGCCTCCTCGTGTATTTCTATTTTCACATGCATTTCCCCTTGTTATGAGGATGCCAGTCACGTTGAATAGGAAGGGCGCATTCCAATGAGCTCGCTTGATTACATCGGCAAAGACTATTTCCAAATAATTTCACGATCGCTGCCACCGTAGGTTAGGACGTCAACATATCTCTGAGAGGGGGGCGCGATTCAATCAGCACCACATTCTGCACACAGTTTAGTTTGGACATCCAGCTGACATTCCTTCGACCCAGGGAAAGAAGCTGCTCGCTGGGGAAGGCCTTCACAGACTTTGGCCATCGCTGGAAGCCTGCAGTCAGGGGCGGGATTTCCAGGCACCCAAGTCCCCCCCTTTGCCCCACCCCCTCTTTAAGGAGTTTCCATCTCCCTCCCCGCCACGTGTTATCCTTCCTTTAACGTGAGCCAATCGCGTTACATAATTAATCGTGAAATTTAAAATTAAAATAAGCATAAAGAGTGTAGCTGAAGAATTTAGAGAGACAAGAGGGAAGAGGGGAAGGGTGCGGAGACACCTAACATTATTTGAGTGCTAAGTGATCGCTGCGTCCTGCAGCGAGATAAATACTCACAGTGCTGTCCGAGCCCGCGACTGGGGAGGCCGAGAGGCCCTGGCCGCGGGAGACCAGGGCTCCTTCTCCCGGCAGGGGACGCGCGAGGGCCTCCGGGCTGGGCGGGCGGGGAGGCAGGCGCTAGGCGGGGTGCTGGCCCGGGAGGGGCGTCCGGGCCAATTTTTGGTTGGCTGCTGCGCGGGTGAGGACGGCCCAGGGCCCTTTTCAACTGGGCCTCGCCAGCTCCTTCCCTTTTCGGCCGCGCGCACTCCTGGGTGAGTAGACTCTGGACGGCGGTCTGTGGACCCAGCCGCCTGCACCCCCTGCCCTGCGCGGGGACCTCCGGGATCGGGGCTCCCGCCGGGTCACGGGCACATGGTCTATCGAGGAAGCAGATGAGATCAGAGGTTCTGAAGCATTTTGAAATTTCCTAGTGGAGCAGTATAATTCCAGTTCTGGCTGGAAACGGAGGTAATTTCGCCCACGCGGCCACTTCCCCGCCACAAATGCCTTTTAGTTGTCACTTTGGAAGGCATTTGGGATTTTGAAAAGGTTCCAGGGAGAGTCTAGCGGGAGCTGAAGACCCGTGAGTCAGACACACCGCTCTGAGCCTGAACTGAGGAAGCCCACGTTTCGCCCCCAGATCCGCCTTTTAGGGGCGGCCGGCGCGGTGTGCTGCGCAGGGCCCGCTTCCAGCTGTTCAGGGAGGGAGGCCTGGCTTTTCTTCCCTGGGGAAAAAAATCTGAACCCAAGGTTCTGCCTTGGACACGGCCTTAAATACCTGACTTCTGCCCACCAAGCTATAGAGCATACGAGGCCGTCCTGGACAGCTTCTCTCAAGAGTTTCTAAGTCTTGGGGTACGTGTGTCCGTATTTGGGGTATTGATAGAGTTCTCTGCTAGATAAAATGGCTCTGGCAAGCCCACCTCCTAAATGGACCTTCCTGGCAGATAATAAGTCATTCAGGGAAACAATAACCTAACTTTACCGCCTTGAAGCTTTCCCACTTATAGTCCTTCCCACCGAGAAATTCAAATTGCCAATGGATTTAAACCTCACCACTGGCTGCCTCCACTATGCCCCCCCCCATACCCCTTGCCCATATAAATAAGAGGTCACCTAGCCAGCCCCTGGTCGCTGCTCTCGCCGTTGTTCGAGACAGCCCGGCACCCCATCCCCTTATAAAGGTCTAGTCTCAGTTCGTATTTTCGCCTCATACTAATCCTCTCAGGCTTCACTGAGCATTCTGAGTGTCATTAAAGAGGAAGGGAGTGTAGTGTGGGTGGCCCGTGTTCCCGGCATCTTGTTCAGCCCTAGACCACTTGGACAACTTTCCCTGTCCTGAGTACCCCAATCTGACAGATAGCCCTGCACACGGAACAGGGAATGGGTCCCCTTTGTTTAGCATTGCTCTTGGTGTTAGGGTTCCTCTTGAGCCAAAGTGTTTATTCAGTTTGACCTATGAGAGACGTAAGCAGAGAGCTTGGCAGATCAAGGCGGCAGCCAGAGCTAGTCTATTTAAAGGCTGTGGAAACCGGAAACTTCTCAACCTCTGGGTTTAATCTCAGCTTCAGGGTAAACAAATGAGTGCTTTTGATTTTTAAAAATCTGGAAAAGTTGTGTTTCAGTTTTTCCTAAGAAAATACCATAAACGTGATGCCATTCCGTGCTAGTGTATCAGATATAGTTGGAAAGATGGTAACAGTATAAGGAATCTTGCTTCATTTCACTCATAACTGGAAATTACAGAAGACTCCCAAGTGTCAGAAATTTGGAGGTTGCAGCTTTATAAAAAATATCTATTTAGGGCCGGGAATTTTAGCTCAGTGGTTCCAGTGCCTGCCTTGCAAGTGCAAGGTCCAGAGTTCGATCTCCGGTCCCAAAAAAAAAAAAAAAAAAAAGATCTATTTAGAGGTAGTGTTCTATGTAATCCTCAAAGATAGCTTAGTAGATAGCCAAAATAGTGGCTGCTCTTCCAAAGATAAAGTTGTAGCCCGTTATTAATATTGCTGTCACTTTTTTTTAACCAGGCTCAGTGGAGTTCAAGATGTTGATAAACATAAGGTATGGACCTATGGAAAAAACTAGGGGCTTGAGCTAATAATAGGAATAGAATTCCTGGCCAAAGATGAGAACTCTAACCTGATTGGATATGCTCTACTCTGATGGGTTAAAGGATTTACCTGAGGCCAATTTGATATGCAGGAATTTACTAAATTCAATCAGCACCACCCTTTTGCTTTAGGCAAAAAAGGGGGGAAACCCCTGTAGTAAATCAATACTCAAGCCAAGAGAAAGGATTTTGAATATTAAAAATGTTACTATGTTAACTGAGTCAGCAGTGGGTGAAACTAGAAACCACTATTTTTGCTGTTATTTAGTAATTACTGACTTAATACTTACCTATTGTGATTTTTTTTTTTAACAGGTCTGGTGCCTGGAAGAATAGGTGAAGCTTTTCGAGTAGAAAAGGTGTATCTGTATGCAAAGTAGAGATTTTGCCCTATGCCTATTGTAGCAGGGGTGAATTTTGAGACAGGTGCAGTTACACATAGGAACAGATATCTGAGAATTTTGTGCCTTTGCCTTTTAGTGCAGTTGGTCCCGCAGAGACTAATTTCTGTAGAATTCCATTTTTTTTTTTTAATCATCTAGTCCCAGTCTGAAACTATCTTGATTCATATACTCTACAAAGATTAGTACATTAAGGTCAAAACAATTCTAAGTAGCTATTTCATAACTAAAGTATCTCGCTTTTTGAAAAACATGGTCCTGTATTTTATATGCAAAAGGTCATTTTAGTGATTAGATTTTAATCCTTTTGGCAACATGAATTGATTCCAAGAGATTTTTTTGCCTGTTCACATCTTGTTCCACAATTGTTCTACTTGATTATGGTGGTGGTTACATGATTATGCATTTGTCAGATCTCATGTTTAGTAGATTTTGCAGAATGTAAATTGATACTTGAATAAACACAGCTTTCAGAACATCCTTTCTGTTGTCTTACAATGTTTCATTTATATATATGAGAAGGTGGTTTGGAATCATCACCTTACATGATTTTGAAATGTTAGGAACAGCAAATATATGTCAAAGTAATTTTTTGTGGTGTAAATGACATAAGTGACTCATGCATACAATAAATACCTGAGAAGTAGGAGTAAAAGTTATGGTGGTTAGATACTGCTTGGCATTTTGTTTCATTTGAAGACAGAGTCTCACTATTTCAGGCTGGCCTTGAACTCTAGCCCAGGGTGGCCTCAAAGTCCTGCAATAATCCTGCCTCTGCCTCCTAAGTGATGGACGCTCCACCATGCCCTGGCAGCTATTGCATTAAAATTTACCTTTATTGTTATCAGCACACGTTGTTCTATTTTAACAGCTTGCCTAGGGTATGGGACCCTACCAGTCTGAAAGTTCATTCTAGTCACTGCAAGATAGCAGAAAAGGGTGTGAAAATTGTCACTTAATTCTGTTTTGAGTTCCTTGGAGTCTCAGTTTCACAGGCCAAGAAAATTTACCCTTGGCCAGAGCCAGCTGGCCAGGAAAGTAGGAAAAAGCTTCTGGAAAGTAATTGGGGCTTGCTTTGATCTCAAAGCTTGATGGTATGCAAAGCACATAGTTCTGTAAAAGGCTGGCTGAAGAACCTGTCTATGTCTTGAGAATGATGTTGAAGGGTGTATTAATCAAATATTGGTCGTGAGTCATTCTTTCCTGTAGGTATTATTGCAGCCAAAGAGCCTTGGAGCCCTGGCCCAGTGGCCTAGGGTACTGGCTCAGTTGTGCTAGCTTTCCCATACAAACAGCCCTTCAGGTGCCCCTCATGCTCCTTAGTGTACCTTCACCTCACCGAGTCCCCATCCCTATACCTTAGCAATCTGGAATTGTCCAGCGTCATCAAGAGATCGAGCATCACCAGAGAAAGCAGGATGAGTAGTCGCAATACCACATAGTTCCGTGGGACGGACTTAGCCTCCGACTTAGCCTCCGTGGCACAGCATTTGTGCTATGGTACAAGAAGGTGGCCACCTGTCTGTTAAAACTACCAGTCCATTCTTCTGTGCTCAAGTACCCTGAAAAGTGAAGCAAATTGGAAGTTGAATAAGTCAGAGGACCTATTAATTCTAAGTGAGAGCCAGGCATGAAGAGAATCTTTCATTGTGACTGCAAAAGAAATTGTGGTTGGAATATTTCTTTGTTCCGAATAATGTACATACTATATACATTCCTCATTTAGTGACCCACTCACAGGAACAGAAATCAATCATTAAATGAGGGATGCCTGTATATGCTGGTCTACCTGTACCTTAAGTCCCATTGTAGAGATAATTCTTACCTTTGGGTCACTTCCACAGTGACCCTTTCCACTTTGTAAGATGGAACTGGTTAGGGTATGCTTCAGTTGATTTCTCCTATAAGATAATTTTACTTTGTATCTAGGTTAATATCTGAAAGGTTAAAATGTTGGTACAAACTGTAAAGAAACTGAAATTTCTTTATACTCTCATCACAACATTCCTAAAAATGGCTTATAAACAATATAATAATTAGAATAAAACCAAGAAGAGAGCAGGAATATAAAAACAAGCCATTAGATTGCATGTTGTTGCTCTGGCCAGTTTGGCCCAGACCTTTCTAACAGCCAAGAGACAGCTGGCAAATGAGTGATTTGGCAATTGAATGTCACTTCAAAATGGAGGACAGGAGTGGTCATTTGAATTTGAGGCTCCCTGAAGCCAGGTGAAATTTTTTTTTCCCTCATGATCTCAAGTACTTTGAAGAAAGAAGTAGAACCCAAGAGCTTTGGATAACTAAATAAGGACCTAGAAAGCTGATTACATGACCCCTGTGAAGCTGGGGCCAGCTTGGTTGAAAGCCATGCTCACATTTTGAACAGATAAACAGCCACACCTGTGTTTGAAAGGCTTATTTTTATTTTATAGACTCATAAAGTTCACCTTTCCAACATCTACCTTGTGCTTATAAACTGAAAATTTCTGATTCCAATTTTTTGTTACAAAATGGTGAATTATCAGAGTCTGGGATTGTGCAAGCATAAGTAGACGGCCCCCTGGTGGAGTTGATCTAAACTGCACGGGACTCATGGTCTTGGGGAGCCTCCACATTGCTTCTGCAGCTCTGGGACAGCTCCACACCAGCCTGTTTCAGAGAAGAAGAGAGAAAACTCAGTCAAATCTGTCGTCTTGATTTGTTTCTGGGGGCAGCAGACTATTGTAGCTGATGCAATAAAGCCTAATGCCATTAATATTGTACAAATTCCCTGGCCTGTTACCGGTAGTCTCCTAGGCAGAACAGAGCCCATCCTATTACATATAGGCCTCCCATAGTGGAGAAATATACGGAACTCTGGGAATCATCCTGGAGTCTAAAACTGCAGCTGGCAGCCACATGTGGCTAGCGAGTACTTGAAACGTGGCTAATTCAAACTGATAGGTGCTGTAGGTATAAAAACAAGGCAGGTGTGAAGAATATGAAAAAATGTAAAAATCTCAATTTTATAATGATTGCGAGTTAAGTAATAATTGAATACATTCAGGTGAATGAGATATACTTTAAAATATTATTTGCATTATATTTCTACTGGAAAACACTGGCCTTAAACATGAATCAAAATAATCTTAGAAATATGCAAATAGTTGCCCACAATGTAATAGAGAGGAAGATGTTGCTTTTCTACTATGCAGAACCTTGAGGGAAAAGGAAGAGTAAAATTAGCACTTAAAATGCAGAATTTACAGGGATGCAACTATTTTTTTCAAGGACAGAAGTTGCAGGGGTAGGGAGCCAGTACTACAGAGAAGATTGATATAAATTTTCCTTTCATGCTGCTCATGTCTCTGGAGATTTTAAACAAAAGACATCAGAATGTATTTATTAAACTTTCCTTTGTTCTATGCCTACTCTGGACAAACATTTGTGTATGTGTTAATCAACGGCCAAAGGATTTGGTAGGGAAGGTCTCCTCAAAATAAGCTTCTTTAGTAAGCATCCAGATGAGTAGTTCTGGTCCCGTAATCTGTTCTTCAATTGGTGTGTGTGTGTGTATGTGTTAATGTAGTGTTTCAGGCTTTTTTATGGAAGAGAGAAATTCGGTGGGGGAGGCAGCACCGTAAATATCACCAGAACTACCTTATGTTAAGAAAAATGTTCCACAGAATTCTCTCCTTCCCTCATTTTCAGTCATTGTTTGCTCTAAAAGGCAAGTCTGTGTAAAATCCCCTTCTGTAGTTTTCTTGCTGATATGTCATTTTGGTTTTGGGTTGTTTTTATTTTCTACAAGTTGCTGAGGATTAAATCCAGGGCCTCACCATGCTAGGCGAGTGAGTACCCTATACTGAGCTAGGCCTCAGCCTCTAACTTTTTTTTCTTTTTTTTTTTTGAGGCATAGTCTCTTTATATAGTTCAGGCTGGCCTTGAACTCAGTGTGTAGCCCAGGCTGGCTTTGAACTTGCAGCAATCCTCCTGCCTCAGCCTCCTGATTGTTGGGATTCTAAGTATGCACTATTATAATATGCCTGGCTGTCATTTTGTTTTGAACAGTAAATGAATTCTTCCTTTAGTTTTCACACTTCTCTTAAGTAGTGATTCTTAACTGACAGGACACTTGGTAATGTCTAGAGACACTTGGTTATCACAGGTGGGTGGGAGAGGGATGCTAACCAGCACTGAGTAGGTAGAGACCAGAGATGCTACAAAATATCCTGCAATACACAGGATAACCCTACCACACAAAGTGGTAACCCAAAATGTCAACATTGCAGAGGTGCAGAAATGCCATCTTAGAAAATGTCATTCTCATCAACTGCTACCTGCTATGGTGCTCCTGGGTATACAGTAGGCTATTCCCAAATATGACTTTCCCTCACACAGAAAAGTTCTCTAAACTATGAGGCCTGTATCAGTCAGCTTTTCATTACTGTGACAAAATACCTGAGAAAATCGACCAGGAAAGGTTTATTTTGGCTCATGGTTTTAGAGGTTTCCATCTATCATTGGCAGTTTCTGGTGCTGTACATCACAGCAGAAAACTGCTCACCTCAAGACAGCCAAAAGTAGAGAGCAATGGAAAAAGCCAGAGGGGAAGGGGCCAGGGACAAGATATAGGCCCCAAGGTCACCTCCCATGGCCCACTCCCTTCAACTGGACCCCAAATCCTAAGTCTCTGTTACCTACCAACAATGTCATCAAACTATCTCCTCAACAGATTAATCCACTGATGAAGTCAGAGTCCTCATGATTCAATCACCTTCCAAAAGCTTAGCCTCTGAATACAAGACTCTGTAGGGACATTGTAGATCTGACCCAGTGATGGCGAACCTTTTAGAGATGCATGCCCAAACTGCCCACTTATTTATGTGTGCCCAAAACCCACTTATTTATCACAAAGTTCCAATGCTGCAATTCAACCTGAATAATGGGGTTTTAGTTTAGAAAACAACTCATACATTAACATCTTTTGTCTTAAAAGAAAAGCAACACGAGGACCATAGGTTCGCCACCACTGACATAAGAAGGCCTAAGAGGGCTTTAATGCTAACTCTATTGTTTTCATTTCTGAACAAAACTTACAGCTCTTATAAAATAATGATTTGTTATTAGTTTAACCCAAGATGTAAATGAGTTTTTCTTCCAGCTTACTCAGAAAGCTAGTTTTAATGTTGATTGTTTATCAGAGACCAGAAACTCCAACTAGTATTGCTCTTAATCAGAGCTGGTCTCAGCAGCATCACTGAGGTGAAGCTCAGCCAAGTCGGCTGGGGGTCACTGGCCTGGCTCAGACTTCATAAGCCACACAAAGATTTCCTCATGATCTGTTTCTCTAGCAAACAGCTTCAGTCCTCACTGGGGACACTTAGCTCAACCAAAAAACATTTACAAACCAGCTGAACAACAACAACAACAACAACAAAAATCCATCCAAAGAATTGATACCAAACATCGTTGACTGTGTTCTACCTCTCTAATCTTAACACTGACCTGAATACCCTGACTAATTATAGATCCTGACAAAAAATAAAAATATGAAAACACTGCATTATGATATTGGCAAAATTAAAACTAGCCACTCCGGGTCATCTGGGAGGAGTCTCTCTGGCTTCAGTTAACGATGAACTTTTCATACTCCAGACAGTTCCACCAGGGCAGACACGCTTAAGCAACTGGCGCTGTTGGCAAAGTGATGACATGACTGATGTCAAGTGTAGCAATGGCACGAGGTAGGCGCACTAGCGATCATCCCACTAGAGCCCTGAGAAGCACTGCCTACCACTCAGGTTAAAGGTGACCAGGTGCCCTTTGTTGTTGTCTCATTCACATGGGTGTTTTTAATCTTACATTTTCCTGCATAAAAAAAATACAGCACGCGCCCCATGGTTACAAACAGTATGGAAATGAAGACCAGCAGACCAAACTGCCGGGGCTGTGGTGCCAGCATGACGAGGACAAAGTGGATGAGGTCCATGAGGTAGTTCAGGGAGCACTGCACACCACTGACAGCCCCTCGCTCTGCCTCTGGAATGTTCTCTTGGAGAAGCTGGGTCACAGTGAGGTCAAAGGACCAGAGGCCTGTGGGGCAGCAGTGTAGGGGGAGAAAAAGCATGGACAGATGTCAGAGAACCTCAGTGAGATTTGGCCTCTGACACTGCCTAGTGTTGTTGCCTTGGGTAGATGCAACTTCCTGCTGCTTAGTTTCCCATCTTGGAAATGGGGACGTTTCAAACCACTAGCACACTGGATGATTCCTTCAGATAGCACAGTAAAATGGGTAGTGCTGTGCCACCCTATCTGTACAAGGCAGTGTCATAATTTGTGGTGTTTTCATTATCTTTTCAGATCACCATCGCAAACACCATCTTCAGAGGCAGTGTAACTTCATTTTAGATGTATTTATGTATGCTCCCACTTCACTGCAAAACTTTTATGTTTAGGACAAAGGGCATACTCTTGGCCCTCAAATCTACTTGCAATTCCAGATTTTTCCTCTTGGGTCCAGGCTCAGGAGAGGAGGAACTGAGCTCCTCTCTTCCCCCACATTCATCCATCTAAAGTGGCTACATTTGAATGAGCTTCAGAAGCAGCCTTGGCACATGCTGCGCGGGCATCAACTAGGGCAGAAGCCAGCTGTGTGGATGACAGTGCTGTCCTTGAGCAGGAATATTGGCCCTGAGGGTTCTGGTACCTGCCCTCAAGGGGACCCGTACCCAGCTTTGCCTGTCTGGTTGACTTTGAGGCCAGTTGGCCTTCTGGATTCTCCTAAAGATTCAGCACTGGCTCTGAAGAGGTCTCCTGGTTGCCTCTGTCTCAATCCCTGGACTTAGCTCTGGGCTCTGGAATTATTTGGAGATAATGTGCTATGTCCCCTGGTGTCTGCCTTTATAGAGTACCAGCCAGATCCCTTGTCCTCCTGAGCTTCCTTGCTGCAGCCCCCAGCCAGGCCTCGACAGGCCCCTATCTTCCTGGGCCATCAGGACCAGCCCAGGGCCTCTGATCCCTCCAGCTTGCCCTGTGGAGGACCTCACACTGGGCTGGACTCTGACCCCTGCTCACCTGTAGAATCTCTACACCGGCATTTAGCAAGCATCGCTTACCAAGTTGGAAAGTATTTGGAAAATGCTGCCACAGCAAGATGTGAAGTGCTCAAGGCAGTGAGGGCTAATTATGCACTGAGAATTATTTTAAAATTGAAGGCATACAGGGTTACAGTTCTTAGATTTTTTTAAAAGCGAAATGACTTTTAAGCAATGTGCCACATCTTATAGGCAGAGTTCTGTAAGTTAATTTATGCATTAGAGTGGAAACAAGTATTTACTGAGCGAATATCTAGGATGAGCCCCGTGCTTGGTGAAATGCGGTGGACACCGAGAAACACTGCAGGTCTCCGCTCCTAGTGACAGGGCCAGGCATCATGGCCTCCAGGCCTGACCACACTGCCCAGGCTACAGGCACAGTGCACCCTGCCGGGCAATGGTGTTTTTAAGGTGTGCAGTTGCAATATCACACCACCAACCGCAAGGGCATTTGTACTCCTGATATGAATAAACATAAACGGAGGCAGGAAACATCTGCATCATCACTTAGTATATGGCTCCCCGTGTCACTGTCCACCCCATACCCACCCTCACACAGCAGCACCTGAAAAG